CGACTTTTTCTTTCCTCTGTCCTTTTTCTTCATAGCAGCAACATAGTCACCTCCTTGACAACGCCTTTGAGAACAAATGAAGCTCATTCAGAGTGAGAGCATTTACTTAATTCTGAATTATCCTACTTTCCCCAAGTTAGGTCAGATTGCTAAATCTAATCAGCTGTGTGATTGTGCTGCTGTTACTATCATGACGCTGTGGTTTCAAAACAAAACAAAAATGGTGTTAGAGCAGCAGATTATCTGGAAGGAGGGCAGCACTAAAAAGATAAACTTGGGAAGCTCCTAACCTCCCAAGCGCTTCTTTTGGCAAAATTAACTTCAATTATAAGATCTCAATCAAATCAAAAGTTAAGAATGGAGCGGAAGTCTTTCGAATATTATATGTCAAAATATTGTTCTAAAAATGACATTCTAATAGGCTTAGAATAAAAAAAAATGTAAGCAACAACAATAAAGAAAGAAGGAAAAATCAGAATGTAACAAAAATAATTTATTATAGAATGCAAGGAAAAAAGGTAGAAAGAAATATAAAGAAAGTCGAATTGCTGTGGAGGGAAGTAGAGGGTGGTTGGTGGGTTTTTAAACTAAGTGTATAATTAAGTAGCTGTTGTAATTTATATATTATATTTTATGTGAGGGAATCACTGGGAATGTTGGTTATTATGTATATATGTTAAGTTTCAATAAAGATCTTTGGGGGGGAATGGAAAAAATAAAGATAAAATAAAAATAAAAATATAAGCTTGGGAAGCTCCTAACCTCCAAAGCGCTTCTTTGTGCCAAAAATGCACAGTATTTGACTCAGGGTAATTTCACAATATACTGAATTTTTTGCTCTATAAGACTCACTTTTTCCCTCCTAAAAAGTAAGGGGAAATGTGTGTGTGTCTTATGGAGCAAATGCAGGCTGTGCAGCTATCCCAGAAGCCAGAACAGTAAGAGGGATTGCTGCTTTCACTGCACAGTGATCCCTCTTGCTGTTCTGGCTTCTGAGATTCAGGATATTTTTTTTCTTGTTTTCCTCCTCCAAAAACTAGGTGCGTCTTGTGGTCTGGTGCGTCTTATAGAGCGAAAAATACGGTAGTCATTAGTACATAGTAGCTGGGAGAAGAAATGCACTTTTCCCAGTGACTGTATCTTGCTGATTGGGTGCTGGAAAGATGTGCTGTCCTCACACAACAGAAGCACAATTTGACAGGGAAGATGACTGAACCACCCACTAAAAATTGCAATTGTGTAGCAATTGTGGTTCAGCAAGATGATTCTTCTACGGACATAAAAGACAGTTACTTCCTCCAGCTGATTTACATTTATCGTCTTATTTCTGTCCTCTCCGTTTTGAACATAATAATTTTCTTGCAGAGATCATTGCATCCACACAGGAAATTCCAAGTCCGCCATGTACATACCACTATGCGCAAAGAACACACTCGTGTCTCTTTGGCCATGTAAACAAATGCTGAAAAACACAGACACCTGCTTTAAATAAAATCCTACACAGGTTTGTATAGGAAATTCTTCAGATATGTGGTGCTAGCAAAATCTGCATTTGAATAGCTAAGACATTTCAAAAGTAACTTCTATTGCGTGAGTTCAAGCCATCACAGATCTCTCCCCCACACTGGCAGAGCTGTCAAGCAGGAAAATGTTTGGAGTGCAGAGAAACTGAAATCATCTTCTTCTCCCCCCTCCCCCATAAAACTAATTCAGAATTAGTCAGAAAGCTGTTAAGTGCTAAGAGAAAGACTTGCATGGAAACATAATCAGCACAGGCAATTTCCCCTGAATAATTCTGGAAAGGAGGTGAAACAAGGAAGATGACTTTTTATGTGTCTGCATCTTTAATCCCTGTAGATCAGAGTTATGAAACTGTGCCCTCCATATGTTCTTGGTCTACAACTCCCATTGTTCCTGACCATGCTATTTGGGGCTGATGGGAATTAAGCCATTATCATATGGAGAGCCACAGGTTCCCAATCCTTGATGTAGAAATCAATTAGGAAAGGAATGTTGTAGGGCCATTTTTTTAAGCTGTAGAATTTAAGAAAAAAACCTAATTGATCAGACCAAAGTCCAGTCCAGTTCAGTCCAGTCCAGTGTTCTGTTCACATAGTGACTGTGACGTTAACATATGAGAGTGCTGGAGGTGAAATAGTTAAAGAAGTTACCCAATCAGAACCCAGGGGGGTGGAGTCAGAGGGACCATAAAACCAGCACTGGGAGGGGCAAAGGGAGCAGTTCGTTGGGAGTTGGGTGGTTGGTTGGAGTGGGAGTGAATTGGGATAGAGTCTTTGGGGAGGTTGAGCGAAATAAGCTGAGCCAGGAACAGTTAGGAACTAGGAAGACAAGTAAATATCTGAGAGGTGGTTTAGGGAGTGAGAGCAGGTAGCAGAAGTTATAGGACTGGATAGGCACCCCATGTTTGTAATTGACAGATACCATTTATGAAACCACACGCTTGTTAAACTGCAATAAATAAACAAAAGTTTATGTTCCAGTTTAACCCTGACGGTGCTCAGTATTGTACCAGGTAGGGCCTGGGTGGTGGCAGCGAGAAAGTGGTGCCACAGGGATCAATAGACGGTGAAACGTCCGGGGACCCTGTGTGATCGCCACAGTGACCAGCCAAATTAGAAGCAGGCCAGCACAAAAAGCTGTAGCTAAGTGGTACAGTGAAGGCTCAAGCCATTTTGGCATCTGAGGCAGACCCCGAAATAGATACCCGCTCCCTGCCAGGGAAGATCTACATCAGGAACAAGGGGGAAAGAAAGGCCAAAATCGGGAGTTGCTGTCCTGGTGGACCTGCCACCTGTGGCAGTCGCTTCACCTTGCCTTATGGGTGGGCCGGCCCTGATTTTAAATGGTCCCAATTTCAGTCTCTGGTACTTCCAGGTCGGGCTTGGAAAGATTCCTACCTCAAACCCTGAGGAACTGCTGTCAGTGTCAACAGTACTGAGCTAGATGGACCCATGGTCTGACTTGGTATAAGGCAGCTTCTTCCTCTGTTCCTATGACACGACCATGACTGCACTCTTCTCCCAAATGATTGATATTCAGAAGTGCATTGCATCTGATACAGGAGGAAATATATAGCCATCGTGACTAGTAGCGTTTGGTAGCCTTATCCTCCATGAATTTGATCTTATCACCCTTCAAAGCTGTCTGTGTTAGGGGCCATCACTACATCTTGTGGCAGTACATGCCAGAGTTTAGTTACGCACTGTGGGACGAAGAATTTGCTTTTCTCTATCCTGACTCCCCCATCCTTTAGCTTAATTGAGTGAACCTGGGTCTTAGTAATACGGGAGATGGATAAAATTGTATCCACTTTTTCCACACTACATGAATAATGTTATACTCATCTGCAGAAATCACCTCAGCCTTCTTTTAGATGTCTTCTGAAAATGAAATTGTTCAGATGGGCCTTTGCAATGGGAATTCCTGCTTTTTAACAACCCAGTATTTACAGTGTTGTACAATCACCTTGTTATACTTTTATGAAGGTGCAGATTATAAATACTTCAAATGATTGAATGAATGAATGAATGCATGCTGGCGGAAGGTGACTTTGAAGTAATTGGCTGCAAGCTATTACTTTAAGCAAGCTTGTATCTCTTGGCCTTAGTTCCAAGGGTCCAAGGGTCAAACCACACTTTCAGGCCCTTGACAGAGAAAGTCAAAAGAGTAGACCCTTTTCCTGAAAATGTATGGCACTAAAAATAGAGACAAGGCATATTAATGTGGCAAGTAGTTTGCAGACAGAAATGTCAATCATCCTCAGATGGGGAATAATGCTTTCACTAGGGCCTCTTTTGCTGACTGGGCAGTTGCTGAGGTCACACATGAGATCCCAATGAAAATGAGCTGGGAAAAGACAGAAGTGCATCCAAAGTTTCATCAGGTCCACGCTACATACCCTGACACAGTGAGCCAGGAAAGCCAGAATTCATTCCAGCTACTGAAATGTCAGAGGGAAAATGTCCTGCATGAGTGGATGGCAGCTGATAAGGCAATCATTCGTTTTATTGCAGGTTACACTCTCAAGGGCATTGCCTGCATACCAGCAGTACCCCAGAACAAATCCTCTCACACATGCATAGGAAAAACCCACTGAGAATTGTTTCCTAATGAGAGCAGCTTTATGTGGGGCTGAACCTACCATTAGGTAGAATGAGGCAGCTGCCTCAGGTAAACGATAAGAAACTGTCAGTAATTTATTATTATTGCTTGTTAAAAATTTTTTACTGTTAGAGAATGAGAGAAGTGATTGTGGTGCTTTCTGACTCAGGTACCATGATAACTTGGTTGGCCTTAAGCACTGTGGGCTTTGACTTGCGGGAGGAAGCACTCTTTGCTGCTTGCAAAATGTCTTAGGTAGGCGTTGGTTTAGGAGTATCCAATGGCTGCTGGTTCAGTGAAATGGGACAGGAGGCATTGGCACAGTTCCCATGTACTCCGGCAGTGAAGGGTGTTCCTCAGCATTCTCACAAGTATTCAGACCTTATGAATAAGCACAGAAGAAGAGCCTGCTGGTCCTGAATCAGGCCAATGGTCCATCTAAGTCAAGCATCCTGCTCCAACAGAAGCTACCCAGATGCCTGTGGGAAGCCTGCAAGCAAGACCTGAGTGTAACAGAACTCTCCCACTTGTGATTCCCACCCATTTGTCCCCACAGGTTTATTGCCTCTGGGAGATTTACCTCTTAGGCCTCTCCTGCCACCCTGCCAGAAGCAGAGCTAGCTGCTCCGGCACCTGGAGCAGCCTGCAGGGCGGGGTTAGCCACCCGTGGGGGTGCGCCAGGAGCGGGGAGCATCCCAGGGGGGTGCAGGGAGCACGCAGTGTCAACATAAATGAGTGTATTTCAATGGATCAGTCCACACGTTGAGTTGTAGATCATCAAATGTGTAATAGCTAAAAGAGGTACATCCATGTGTCATTCAGTCCACAGTCTTGAATATTCTACCTTTCCTTCACCTGGGATGTATTTGATATTAAACTTCGCTTCTTGGCCTTTTGGCTAAGATCAAGTGTAGATATAAAACTTCAGAATCTTGAACTGTTGTTGCTACTGCATTTGAGTATAATTTTATTTACAGCCAAACTAAAGAATACATGAGAGACATGTAATGAGCATCCCAATTTTAGTTTACTGCTGAAATGCTGCTTTGGTGACCTACAAATTTGATTGCTGCAGCAGCTGTACTAGCTTACCTCCCCCCACCCCAGAGGCCAGGTCTATGATAATAATCGTGGACGAATACATTGCTTTCCTACAAACCAGGGACATTTTTTGGGGGGGAGGGTTCTCTGTTTTCCCCCACTGCAAGTTGGGGGAGAACCATGCAATATGTGATTCTGCTCACAAAAACACCCATGGGGAAAGGGTTAAGCACCCCATGCCAGCACAGTTGCTGCAATTAAAACCACAGCCCTCCAAGCCTGTGTTCCAGTTTAAAAACAAAAAAACCAAACAAACTGGGAATCTCATCACTGGTTTCCCATGTCACGTGCAATTTCTCCCTTTGTGGTGATCTCCCATCTTAGCATAAATCTGCTTTCGTATCTAAAGCTTTGTGGTGGAATCTTTGGAGTTTAAGCACCAATAGTTGGGGGCCATTGTGCTTTGATGTCAGGACAAGCATGACACTGAACTTGCCCTTCTGCTCAGTCCAAATGCTGGGCATCGTTTCCACAGCATGTAAACGTTCCTTCAAATGATGCTGCCTCATTCCGAATATCCCATCTCACGTTACAGCTGGAATATGCATTGTAACTCTTACCCTTGCACGTATCCTGCTATCCTCGCCACCGCTGTAGCTAATCCACGATGACTTGGCAGGAAAACTGTTTATCCATTCTGCTGCAGGGCAAATCTCTAGGATTGTAGCCAATGAAGGTTGTCCAGATCATGGGGAGACAGCAGTACATAATAGTTCAGTTAATATGTTGTAGTTGCCGACTTGAATTTATTTGTGACAGGGCGTATTTTTAGAAGTACATAATCTTTCCCATAGTATCAGGTATGCTGCTACAGTTGTTAAGGACTGCCACTATTTGGACTTTGGTGTATCTTCTAAGCAACAGTGGAAAACATTGTCCCTTCTATCCCCGCCCACATAAATTCTATGGCTTCCAAATTCAAAGACTATTGCAGAGCACACACATAGACATAAAAGTCTCCGAATTTGTGTGTGTGTGTGTGTGTAGATATGCTGGAATAGGGGAAAATCACAATTAAAGCATTTTCCCACTTAGGCTGTTTGCACCACATATTCAAAGCGCAGTGGGGAAACACAGAGACCCCCCAAACTGTCCCTGGTTTGTAGAAAAGCATCGTACAAGGAAAATCAAACGTTACCCTATGAAGCCCTTCCTGTTTTAACATGGATATGCTTGTGTGGCATCTCCACTTTCCTGAGCTGACTTGAGCTTACGCTTAAGCCTCCTCATTCCTCCTCAGTGCAAAGCTGCACTGAGCTATGCATGTTTGACCCCATTAAGACAATGGGGTTAAGCATGCAGAGATGAATGTCTGAGTGCCGCAAAAGGGAACAGTGTGCTGCTGGCAGCTTCCTCCGCTTGAGGCTTCTGTCAATTTAAGGAAGCCGGGGAAACCATTTTGAGCAGCTGCTTTAACTTTCACTGCCTTATCGATAACTTGAAAACCTGGAAAGTGTCGGGAATTGCGTCAATGAGGCCAGATTGAGGGCCTTATTTGATTCCACCGGACGGAGCGGGTGCTTTTGAGGACAGCGTGTTTATGGCCGCCTTATCTCACTTTCCCTTAATTCTCTCTGACCTCGTGTTTATTTTGGCTGACCAGGGCCTCAGACAGCCGCATACTTTGCTGCCACATAAGTTGCATAGCTACGCAATTAAGGAGGATGTGAAGCAAGTCAGACAAAAGGAATGTGCCACGGTGACAATGGTCTTCCTTTCCTTCCAGCTTTGCCTTGTAGAACAAACAGGCCATTCCAAATAATCAAATATAATCAAAATAAGGAGGAAAAAAACCCTGGATCAACAGGGGTGGAGTTTGATTGTCACCTGCTCACATCCAAAGACAAGTATGGGAAATTGGAAAGTAATGCTTGTCACCTTATGAAGCACCATCACCTAGTTCCTAAATACATTCATGTTCAGAAGCTCTACTTGGTTGTAGATAAAGTCTTCCAAAAGTAAAACTCACTCCAAGTTTTTCTAAAATTTACTGCCCCCACCTAAACTAAAAAGAGAGCACCATTTGGTAGAAAAGCAGGATCTAAATGTAACAAGCAAACCAACCGATCCAATAATCCTAGAACTTATATAGGTGCTTTATATTTGAAGTGCTTCACATTATCTCAGCAGTGCTTGCAGCAACCCTGAAAGGTAGGTCAGCAGTATTGTTAGCGCAATGCAAGAAAATAGCAGCTTGCCTAAAGTTTATTCTTGCTCAAAGAGATTTTTGTGCGTGGGTTGGTGGTTTTTTTTTACATTTTCAGACAAACAGTAAAATTAAATTTCAGCAAATTTTCACACAGTTATTCTTATCTTTTAAAGAGACCACACTCTTTTTTGTTCAGTTAAGAGATGCTAGCATGTGATCTTCACAACTATCCTGTGAGGAAGGTTAGGCTGAAAGATGGCGACTGGCTCAAGGATGCCCAGTGTGCAGAAAGACCGATTAAGGATTTGAAGCCAGACCTCCCTAGACAAAGTCCAGTACCAGAGTTAGCCAGCATGGTGCCCTCTAAAGATGTTTGAACTACAACTCCCAGCATCCCTGATTGTTGCCCACACTGACTGGGGCTGCTGGGAGTCCAAAAAATCCTGGAGGGCAGTGTTGGTTACCCTGCTCTCTACAACATGACTGTTTGGCACCTGTCTTGGGAGACAATGGAGGAGTGTGCCTTTGGGGGTGAGGTCAAGCTCACATGACTATCTACCATAAAGCTGCAGTAGACGTCTGTAGTGTAGAGATACCCTGAGCTTTCAGCATTTGTGTTTATGTCTAGAAAAGCACATCTCATTAATTTCCTTTCAAATACTGATATTTACATAACCCTGTCTTTTACCACACGTGAAACTGCTTGCGCTTGTGTGTGTTTTTATAGCCCAACTGCACATTGTGGGAATCTTATTGTTATCCTTCATATTTTTTAGCTATTTGTGTCTCATTATTCCGTTATGCGCTTCAAAAATCATCTTTACTTTCCTTCTGATGTTCCTTTTAAAGCTAACAATACTGCAGTTTTCACGTTCTCTTCAGTTTTAAAGAACTTCATTTTTACTTGCAATTAAGTTAAGCAGCTTGTCACTCAAACACTTTGGTTGCGAAGAGTCTAAGCTTAATTTCACATGAAACCTCCCCCGAGTCAACTTTTCGAGCTTTACCAGCTGGTTTTCATCTATGTCTTTTGCTCAAAATATTCCTTCCTTTTATTCCTCAACTTGTTGCTGGCCCTATCTGCATTAACATATGAAAATCCCAGTATGTGAAAATCTATAACCTGTAATCTGTATGTGAAAACCTGGGGGCAGCTGTTTCTAAAACTGCTCTTATATTCCATTAAGACCGCCATGATGCCACCCTTTGCACCTTTGGGAGGAAAGGCAGGATATAAATTTAATAAATTAATAAATATAAATTAAAAGAGGGCATGGATAATTATAATAAACTCTGGTTATGAATTTATTCCTAATTTGCATCCCACTTTTTCTCTGAGGAGACCAAGGTTGTGTTTTAGGCTGAAACCATGACTTCATGGAGGAGAAAGCTATCAATGCCTATGTTGTTATTTCTCTCTAATCTAGAGGTTTCCAGTCTTTTGGGGCTTATAGATATATCTGAAAATCTAAGAAACTGTTGTAGATACCACAAAATACCTATTTCAAAGAAAAACTGATGGTGTTCAGACACCCCTCCCCCAAACTTTCAAAACACTGAAATTTGTTTTACAGTAATGTGTTTCTCAGTTTGATTCTTAACTGGTTTTGATCCAGACTGAATCTGTCATATGAAAGACATTTATCTATGATTCAGTCCCACTGAACTCAGTGGGGCTTAATTTTAAATAGTATAGGACTGACCTGCAAGGTAGATGTACTTAATTAAGCAAAGTCATCATGACTAAACTTGTCCTAACTAACTTCTGTGTGTCCTGAGTTCAGCCAACGTAATTTGTAGGCAGCCCACTGTTTTTCAAAATGTTGTTGTTAACAGATTTATGTTATCTGTCAAGAAAGTGCAGCATACTTTTAAAAAAACAAATACATATATTTTTAGAGGTATTTAATTTTTAAAAGTTCAACTTGGCTCTAGCTCATCACAGAAAGTACCCCTTGGTCCCTTGTGACGGTGGAAAAAAAATGCCCCCAAAGTAGAGTTATGGCCACTTGACTTACTACACAATGACAGCCTCTTGTTCTCTACTACATATTGATGCAATGGGGAGACATGATGAGCCCCAGGTCTCTGCCACATGCACTTGTGCCATGAACATGATGTTCAGTGCACAGTCATCACATGCACATGCATTTTAAACTGTTGAAATTTTCCATTTCCCCCTCCCCATGAATGCCCCTTAGACTTGGTATTGACAGGTCAGTGTTCAAATCATTGTCTAGGCCTGAACAGCTTTGACCATGGCACTCTCTCTTTGCTGCAGTTCCTCCACTTTGTAAATGAGGAATAATCGTGTATATAGGAAGCTTCCTTATACCAAATCAGACCATTTGTACATCTAGCTGACTATTGTCTACACGGACTGGCAGCAGCTCACCAGGGTTTCAGATTAGGGATATTCCCAGCCCTAGCTGGAGATGCTGGGGCTTGAACCCGGGACCTTCTGAAATCAAAATAGATGCTCTACCACTAGGAACAACTTCCTAGGGTTGCTGGTGATGGTGGAGAGTTATGAGACGTTGTTGCCAGCCTTGAACTTCAGGATATAAATAGCAGCAGCAGCAACAACAATCACAGAAAACCATTTCATTCTGGTAACCCTTAATGCCTTCTTCCATTCTTCCTAGTGATCCATCAGCACTCTGTCACCTGCTTATTCAAAAGCGCTTCTACGATGCTATTTATTGTTGTGCCTAATAAAAGTTTTTATTAGGTTCTAAGTAATTGGATACTTCAGTATAAACCACAGTCATTTTGTGTGTTGTTTTTGGCAGTTCAGGTTTAGCAACAGGTATTCCAATATCTAGAAGAGCTTGCCTGTAAAATTCATTTTCCATAATGTTTGGATGATGGACCATTCGCCTTTAGCCTCTCGAATGTTCCTAAAATAAAATAACTTCTCAAAGTTATGCAATGATCCTGTTGAGTTAAATTCCATATTTGGTCTTCCAATCCATGCTAATGGAAGCAGTATTTTTCCAGTAGCGTTGAAAGTTCAGAGCCACCAAAGTTTTCACAGCAGTTTAAGAAAGAAAGAAAAATGACAATGTAGCTGCATTAATTTTCAAAGCATTATTAACTGGGTAACTTTTTAGCAGGGCTGACTTAATAAGACTAGGATTTGTGTACCAAGTTGAGGGCTTCATTCCTCGCATCTTCCCCAATATATGTATTTATTGCCTGATGCATATGCTCATAACAGCAAAAGCACATATACGCTGCAAGTCAGATGTTATGCCGTGTACATTTCCTATATGGAAATTATCTCTGCATTGTGGGGGAAATGTAATCTCAAAAGCAACCCGGAGCCAAGAACCTGGACAAGCCATCCTTCCCCCATCTCAGTTCCTCACTTGCTAAATGAGAAAGGTGATACCTCCCCTTGGATGGTTGTTGTTAGGGCAAGCGAGGGAAAGAAACATTGTCACCCACTCTGAACAATATTTGGTTCATATTGATATATGAGGACACACATGTGATATAACAATTATATGAAGGTCAATTAGAGAAAAAGTGTGTGTAGAGTGTGCATTTATTAATTTGCATTGGTTTGACTCCAGTGCTAGTCATGCCCAGAGTAGACCCTTTGAAATTAAAAGACATGACTTACTTAGGCCTATTCATTTTAATGGGTCTACTCTGAGGAGAATTTAGTTGGGTACAATCTATTGTTTGCAAATACATGTTTAAAACAAAGCCTCCAAAGGCATCATCCAACATATGTGTAATATAAACTTGGTACAAGTTTAAAACCATACCATATCATAACAACAGAACTGATTAAAAAAACAACAAGAACTGACAATAAGGCAAATCTCAAAGGCTCTGAAATTACACCTGCAAGCTCCTTTAGTACACTTAGAAGCATCTGATCAGGCCCTGGAGATGTGAATTCTTTTAAAGTAGCTAGGTCACTGGCAGAGGAAGAGGAGTGCGGGGGGAGCGCACCGCCCCCAGCAGCACGATCCCAGTGGGATGCCATCACGGCTGCCCCCCACCCACGCTGGGTGCCACACCCCTGCAGGCAGCATGCCATGCCCCCAGGATGCGCACCATGCCTCCAAGTGCGCCAGCCCTGCCCCCACCTCCTCTCTGCCCCCCCCCCCGGTGCCGGAGCATGAAGTTCCACCACTGAGCTAGGTGTTCCCTTACTACCTCTTTTTCTATCTTGGGCTGCAGCTCCCTCCTTACATCATGTATTCTGTTATTACCAGGTTGGGCATTGCTTTCCTTTTGGGTGAAGACAGAGGCAAAGTAGGTGTTGAGTAGTTCCACCTTTTCTCTGATCATCCCTAATCATCTGTCATGGATGCTTCAGCTGAGATTTGCAGGAGGTTGGACTAGATGACCCTTGGGGTCCCTTCCAACTCTACGATTCTGTGGTTTCCCTTGCTGTACACCAGCGATTCCCAAGCTTGGGTCACCAGCTGTTATTGGACTACAACTCCCATCTCCCTAGCTAGCAGGATCAGTGGTCGGAGAAGATGGGAGTTGTAGTCCAAAAACAGCTGGAGACCCAAACCTGGGAAACACTGCTCTACATTAACTTGCTCTTACCTGGTGCCCTCCAGACCACAACTCCCATTAGCTTCAGCTGGCATGCTTGTGCTGGTTGGGGTTGATGGCATTTGTAGTCCAAACCTTCTGAAGGACACCAGGTTCAGGATGGCTGTTCTGTGTGTATACCTCTGTTCATGCAGAAGGCTCCTTCCAGACCTTATGACAAACCTGTGAAGATCAGGCCCATGCAATCTTGCCTCTTCAGCCTCCGTATCTTCATATAGTATCTGAAGGGGGCTATTGTTTTAGGCAGTGTGTGAATCATGCAGCACTGGAAGAGTTGTTCTCATTGAAAGATGTATTAAATAGTTTGGAGACTAAGCTGCGTGTCCAGATTTGTGGGGACAGAATTCATAGTTCTGATTGTACGCGGGGCTTGAGAAAGGACAGCTCTGCATTCTCTTGAAGTTAGATGCAACATTTCATAGTATCCAGTAATAGAAGGTGATGATGCAAATGTGTTGCCATGGTTTGTAAAGTAAATCTGATCAGGTAGGGTTTGTCAGGTCTCCAGAGGTTGGTCTGTGTGGGTGTTGCAAATGTCACACTGAAGACATGTCTAAAATCTTCAAGGGAAAAAAATGCTTCTTTGAATATGCAACCCACCCACCCAGCCTTACATTAATTTGGAAGCTTTAATATTATTATGAAAATGAATAATTCCCAGCTGCAAGCTGTTAAATGTTCAAGCCCTATTTCTGTTTGCTCTCTGATTATTCCCGTCTCATTTTTAGGTCAGCTTTCCCTAACCCTATGGCTTTGCCTAATACATTGTTTTCAAAAAGAAATTTATTTTAAACATAAAAAAAAGATTCCTTTGAAACACCAAATCCAATCCCCTAATTAAACAATCACAGTTATTGGTTTTCCTATGCTACTTTGGTGCTTGCTGCAGTGAAGATGTGGTGCCATTGAAGGAACCCTGCCATGAGTTAGCCCAATGGTCTATTTAGAGTCCAGGCTGAGTAGCAGTGACTCTCCAGCAACTTAGCACAGGTCTTTCACATTGATTGCTACACAATCCTTTGAACTGGACATGCCAAGGACCAAACCTTCGACATACAACATCATACCACGTAGCTATTACCCCTCCAGCAATGTTTTCTGGACAATTTTTCCTATTTCCCCAGTGTTTTACACTAGTGGTGCAACAGTAAAACTGCTAGCACATTTGCAGAGCTAAGCAGAGTCCAGTATGGGTTCAAATTGAATGGGGGACCTTGTGCTGAGATTCCTGCATGGCAGGGGTTTGGACTACATGACCACTGGGGCCCCTTCCAACCCTACAATTCTCTGATTCTGTGTTTTCTTAAACATGCAGTAGACATGTGCAAGGGAGCTGCATTCAGCCAGTGCATGCTGACAAGTTGAGAGGAAAATGTGTGCTCCAGTTGTCCATATTGGCAATATGGTGACTGGCAGAAATGAAGCAAACAGATTTGGTCTCCTGGTATGGAAGGAGGCTTTTCTACCCTCTGCCCCCAGACAATAAATGGCCATTGTATGGCGTTTGGGGTCAGAGACAAGGCTGCTCCCATGACCCTTCTCCAAATGCTCAGTATCAAAGCTGTTGTTGTTTAGTCGTTTAGTCGTGTCCGACTCTTCGTGACCCCATGGACCAGAGCACGCCAGGCACTCCTGTCTTCCACTGCCTCTCGCAGTTTGGTCAAACTCATGCTGGTAGCTTCAAGAACACTGTCCAACCATCTCGTCCTCTGTCGTCCCCTTCTCCTTGTGCCCTCCATCTTTCCCAGCATCAGGATCTTTTCCAGGGAGTCTTCTCTTCTCATGAGGTGGCCAAAGTATTGGAGTCTCAGCTTCACAATCTGTCCTTCCAGTGAGCACTCAGGGTTGATTTCCTTAAGAATGGATAGGTTTGATCTTCTTGCAGTCCATGGGACTCTCAAGAGTCTCCTCCAGCACCATAATTCAAAAGCATCAATTCTTCGGCGATCAGCCTTCTTTATGGTCCAGCTCTCACTTCCATACATCGCTACTGGGAAAACCATAGCTTTAACTATACGGACCTCCAGATGTTGCTGAACTACAACTCCTGTCACCCCAGTAAGCATGGACAATGACCAGAGCCAATGGTAGTCATAGTTCAGCAACATCTTCTTGATGGTCCAGCTCTCACTTCCATACATCACTACTGGGAAAATCATGGCTTTAACTATACGGACCTTTGTTGGCAAGGTGATGTCTCTGCTTTTTAAGATGCTGTCTAGGTTTGCCATCACCTTTCTGCCAAGGAGCAGGCGTCTTTTAATTTCGTGACTGCTGTCTCCATCTGCAGTTATCATGGAGCCCAAAAAAGTAAAATCTCTCACTGCCTCCATTTCTTCCCCTTCTATTTGCCAGGAGGTGATGGGACCAGTGGCCATGATCTTCGTTTTTTTTTTTAATGTTTTTTGATGTTTGATGTATCAAAGCTATGGACTGACTAACAAACTAGATTCTTGAGGTGGGGGGTGTCCTTTAAATTTATGGTGTGTACACAGCCTAATGCACTGATTGTGGCACAACAAATGAGCCCCCACCCCTGGCAAATGAGGGATACAGCACCTAAGGCCAGGCATATTATTTTATTTTTGGTAGAAAACCTTGTAAGTTCCACTCATCCTCCCAGGCAGTGAAAATGCAACAATAATAACATAGCTAACTATTTGCTGGCCTTTCATGACACTCTAAATCAGCTGCCAGAGGCAGCTGCCTCAGTGTGTCTAATGATGGGTCCAGCCATGCTTATGTCCCTGAGACTTTGGAATACTCCCCAACCCCATCCGTCTCAAATCTCTTGCCCATCTGTCACAGGTCATTCATTTTTATATCATGTTGCACATAAATGCTGTGTTATATAAGAGTTGCTGCAGTAAATGTAAGCATGACTGATGCAATTCACAGAGGACCCTGCAAAATATATA